ATTCAGCGTCACTGTACTTACGTTCCACGCCTTAATTTGACTTTATTACCAGGTTTTTAGAAGCCACGGTGCCATTATGGCTTTTAAAATTAGTAATTGCGAGAAGAATGGTTCTTCCTTGTCTCGGGTCATAAAACTATGAAGTCTGTTTTTGAAGCCAGTGAGGTTTTGCTGCCAGATAAAGTGACCATTGTCATCGCCCTCGAAGAAGTACTTGCCTTACGCGAAAAAAAATTGCTCTTTTTGGGATGTGCAGAAGTGGCCACAATTGCAGTGCGAGCGTTCGCCGAAATCCCTTCAAAGCCATGATGGTTCACCGTTACTTGGAGTTTGCGGTCCACAACAAAGCTGTCAACGAGGGAAAATATCTCTAAATTTCCCCCTCGCACCCCCAGCGATCCCGTAACAAGTGAGCCGGCACTTATTTCATCTTGTGAATTGCCTTTCCGTAAAGCACTAATTTGCATCAGGAGTGGAAAGTATGTAGCGGCATCACCGCCTTTTGCGACAAGGATTCGTCGTGGTACAGGAAGCGAATGGACTGTATGGGGTCCTATGACTAGCCATTAGGCGAAGTGTGTGGTGCTGATGTACTTAGTGAAATACATATTGCTTAGAAAGGGCGTGCCGCAGCGGCTTTGAATGACACCACCAGGTAAAGGATGTTAGGCTGAGATTGTGCGAGCAGGGTTATACAGCTTAGACTCATTGAACAGTAAACGTGATCAGGCAAAAAAAAAACGTAGAGCATGCGCCGAGGTCGAGTTATTCTGGTTAGAAGTGCGACAGCAGTGACTCCAGGAGGCTGAGTCATAATTAAAGATGAGTGGTTGTATCTGTGAAGAGAACAATGTCCGGAAACCACTGGCAGCGGAAACGGGCGCTCTCTTTAATGAATAACGAAAGTGTTTATGAGTTTACCTGAGTGAGTGAGGGCCTACTGTAGAGTTTTTGGTATGCAGAAATTGTTTTGGCGACTTTACGGTTACAACTTTAGTGTAAGCTGTGAAAGGACGGAAACCACTAAGGGTCATAGGCCCAACAAAGTAATGAAGACAGGTGGATTGCAAGGACTCCTGGAGTAATTAAAAATAATGAGCTTAAAGCAAAAAGAATTGCTGGTGAATGTTGCTGAAAAGTTTACTATGGGGCGGGTTGGTGCCAATGGCGAGTCATTGTTACTTAAATTAATCAAGTTATTCGCGCAATTTTTGTATGCAATATGTCTTAGTATGGCGGTATTCTTTGAAGCTGTTATTTATGGCTGGAGTTTCTTAAATTCTAGTCACACAGCGAAATCACTTGTTGTATGAACGTCTGCACGTCCTCTAAGGCGTGAATGGCACAAATACATGCCATACAGGTGACTGAGTAATTTCGCGGTCGTTGCGTTTGTGTCCTCGACGCACACCAGTCAGCTGTGATAAAAGATAGCTTCTTATGAAGACAACAATTCTTTCACAGTAAACGTGAACTGCAGTCATAAAAAACTGGCAAGACGATGAGGAAAATGAAATATTGGGGAGATTATTGATTGTAAATACCAGCTGGCAATAGCGCACGGATTGAAAGATCAGTATATGGGAAAGAAGGGAGAGTATTCGGAACTACGCCAAGGTTGGCAGCACTAGCAGTCGTACTCAAGTTACCTGACGGCAAAAGCTCAATGGGAACAAGATGTAACCGGGCCAAGAAAAGAAAAGGTTTTATGGCGACTGCACTTTCTTCTATTTTCGTTCCGTATTCGCGAACGTGGATTTCACAGACCAGGATAAGGCTGCAAGGATGGTCTACCACTTCTGCTTCACACGCATAGGCCGATTACCGAAGACCTCAGCCACAGCCACACTGGAGGCGCCATTTTTCTTGCTCCTTCGAGCTCTCCCTGGGCGATGAAGGAGCCAAAACCGCACTTTAGTAGACTGTTAGCACCATGGTTTACATGGCACTCACGTTCGGCACCGAGAGTAGACTCTTCCATGCGACTTGGATCTGGCGCTTCCTGAGACTCATCTTCCCGCTTGTTTCAGAGCATGTGGGCTTCTTACCACACTGGCCACGAGACAAGAATTAGAAGAGCCGCCTTTCTATCTGATTGCGTGGTCGGTGCAGCTCCGCGCACAATGACGGTGCTACGGTGGTGCGCACTTCGCGAGGAGCGGTGAGTGTGGTCGGTTTTTCACGAGCCACAGAAATGCAGCAGTGCAATGGTGTAAGTGGAGAAAGCAGGCAGTATGCCCAACTGCACTCCCCCTTCGTCTCAACCCTTGTGTTTGCTTTTGAAAAGGCTACTGCAATTCAATAAGTAAGCGGACACAAAAGCAACTGACAACGGACATACATGGACGGCGTAATCTGTAGACGCTATTTTCGTGATGCTACAGCTGACGCCACACCACAGAGAACTGCCTGACAGCGAGGTTTCAAACAATGGTTGCGAATGACTGAAAGCGCGAGCTTTGCGGATAAAGTTTTACAGCGGTCGCTGTTAGGTTTGTATCGACGTTTTCTGCAATCGACACATTCATGTTACCAAATGTACAGCTGTATGTAAGATACCATTAGAAAATAGAGACTGCAAGCTTATTCAGCAGCCGTACAAAAATGCTGCTCAGGAACGAACGACTCAAACGCGACATAACTCAGTCACAAGACACTGTGCTCGTTTCCCCAGCATATACAACGGCTATGCAACTTTTAGACATAAGAGTCAGTGCTGAGTTCGCAATTTGACTATCTTTATAGAGAGCTTCGTAGGAGGAATCGCGTCTCACTTTTACCAGCTGGCCTCGCCCATAGCAACAGACAGCTGCGGCGTCAACGCTACTATCTGTAAGTTATTCAGTTAAATATCAAATCTATACCATAACGTTAAGGTATAAAGCGCGTGCAAAGCAACCACTGAATGAAAAAAAAACAAGTAATGAAGTTCCACACCCGGGCCAAAATATCACCAAGCCATAACCAGCTGCGTTTTAACGATATATGGTCACAAAGTAAATTTAGCAGGACCAAAAAAGCTACCTAATCTTGTAGTGCTTATAGTAATACTATCCCTCACACATTACGTCATTATGCTTGTTGATGTGCTAAGTCAGTCGCGAGATAAAGTTTCGCTCATATTTAACTCTACATTTATTTAAGATCTATTTATAAGCAATGGCACACGCATAAAAACAATCTCTTTAAAAAACTTTATAAAATATCTCGCTTCTTGTGTAGACATGTCTTAATGTCTTACTATGATTTTATCATCCACACATAACACACGTAAACTTGTCCCATTCTAATTTTTAAAAAATGGATAAGAAGCTCTGTATGTCAATTATCACTGAGAGAGTACGTTAATATTCAAGTTTAGACCAGCTCATGCCAGTCGCACAGCTGCACATAACTGCAACGCCTAGCACAATGGCTTCACTGAATAGAGTATATATGCTCAGAAGCATATACATACAAAACGTGATGCAGCCACACTTCAAGCAGAAGTTAAATGTTTGCGGCAAAAGAAACACAGTTTGTCAAGAGCGTTTATATAATACCTGCGAAAAAGATGAAAATGGACGCGAAAACGTTTCGTTCATAAGGGATTGTGGTCGTTGCCCCACGCCGTTTATAATTCACAACGGCACCAAGACTCATACGCAGTTAGTTCTACATACGATAAGTGCTAGTGTGATGAAGTTTAAACAGAGTAAGAGGTTAAAGTTTGAATGCTTTTATGAAAGCACGGGGTTCTTACTTCTGTTGCAAACATTGCATTTATGATTACCAATAATAATAGGATACCTGATTATTTGAGCCGAAAACTTAATGTAACAGGCAGGTTACTTGTAGATGTATATAGTAATGCAGGTCAATTTCATGTGAATATAGCATCGTTACTTGTTTTGAACTTATTCAACATATTGTCTATCGCCTAATATTGTTTACCTATATCACAAAACGACCATAAAGACTATGAAAGGCTACGGACACAATATTTGTTTTATAACTGTCGGCATTGTCTACAAATACAGTCACGTCTAAGTTAGTTCCATAGATCATATCTTCACCGTGCCTTTACTTAATGTACTGACTTTGTGACCTCATTACGCCTTGTGTCACCCAGATCATCATCATTAGGGTGAAATTTATATGATTTGAAAAAATTATGCCCACCCTCCTGCCACGTAGTAGTCAGCGCTGAAATTCTTGTATTTTTTTTCATAAGCGTAGCAATGACCAGTGTGCAAAGCTCACTGAACTTTTCCGATGTTCGATGTAAATGTGTTTTTTTTAATGTGAAGTACACCAGCCAGATTCCGATTTGATCTTTAAAGGAGCTTCCAATTGAGATGCGCGTATCTGTTGGGCTGGTGCCTCAGTGCGCACAACATACGCTAGTTTGCATAATGACTTCTTTATACCTGCAACACAGACTGACTACATTCGAACTTTTCAGTAGCTTTAGTGAATCACACTAAAAAAAAAAACACGATTACGTCTGGTAATTTGGTTTCGCTTTTATTATAATTGTCTGTTAACTCCGAATAAACTGACGATTTTAAAAGTTAACACAGATTGTTTGGCGTAGTTAGTAAGTGTACAACACTGATATTGCAGATTATGCGAATTCATAACTTCTTTCTTATGGTGCGCCAATACACATGACAAAACCTTGAACCACTTTGCGGAAAGCTTTCTATGTAATGTCTCTCAAAGGAAAGCGAACGATGAACGATATCACATCTATCTATAAATTTTACTAACGTGTCAGCTCAACATAGTGGCTTGAAAGTGAAAAAAAAAGGGGGGGGGGGGACCTAAGTGCACCAGGAGACAGCATATTTGTGGGGCTATTTCGCTGGTCATTTCCTGTATAATCACTCTGCTCATTGCCTTTTTATTCTGCGAAGGCCGCACCAATGAGGCATCGCGGTGCGACCGTAATAGAAAGGGCAAACGAAGCAAGAGTACAAAAGTAAATAAACTAAAGTATAAGTGGGCCTTGAGCTTACCGCCATCGGCGTCGCAGATGAGGACTAGATGGGCGCCTTCGTCGTAAGGGCCGATCACTCCGTGCAAAGGCTTGCCCGACTCGTCCCGTATAATGGCATCCTTGGGGGGAACTGCACCATGGAAAAGCAATCGGAATAGGAAAGCAAATGATAGTTGCATCATGAAAAAAACATGGCTTGTTAAGCGCACCGAGAGCACTGTAATCAGATCAGAAAGCAGCATGTAACACCATCGCGGTGTAAATGAATATTTCCAGCAAGACTGAACACCCATGGCAAACGAAGTACACGTTAGCGGAGGAATGTGAGCATTCGCCAAAGTCAATCCTTCTCATCAGAAAACGTTGCCTAGAGTCACGTTACAGGGTACAGCATTTTTTTGTAGATATATAATCAACCGAGGTAGGCTCAGCATGATTACATAGAGACTAAGCACACAGATGAAGGTACCTTGGCACTTGCTGAAGAAAAGGCACAGGTGGTGTAGTGATAAGAAGCTCTGCGAAGTATGCCCCGCAAAATTGGTTGCTAGGTTGTCTTTGCGGACGGTATAGTGTCATTCATGTCCTCTGGGTTTCTGAGTGCGTGTTTTAGCACTCGAAATTTCCGCCAAATATGCGCCATCTCGACGAGTTTTAAGATTTGTTAAGCCTTTGCTGAATTTTAATAAGCACACGCTGTACTTTTCTGGTGGCATTTAGTCGGATAGCGATAGTTGTGTCCAGTAAATGCTTCTAAATACGCCGTCTCTCGTTTCACGACGTTTCACAAGATCTTCCAGCCGCATCAGTATTGAAGCACCACTCGGTAGGCTCGAAATTTCCGGGGAGCCTTTCCGACGGCGTTTCCCCACTATCATAGGGGATTTTGACAAGCTAAATGCCAATAATTATAATAGATACGTCGGGGCTATCTAGGTGTTTATTTTTTCAAAACGGGGCAGAGGGAAGGTTAGACACATTTTATGCATGCTCGTTTGTTAGGTGTGCGTGTGTTAATATACACAGGTCAGTTTGATTTCAACTTCGGTAACACCTCCCCTCATCCCTTTCCCTATTCCCTACTCGCCACGGGCTGCTAAAGAAACACCGTGTGGTTAGTATCTGGCACATAGTGAATTTTTTTGTATTGTCTCACGTAAGCAGGTGATCGTCAACTGGTCACCGATCGCGGTCGCTACTTTTTATCTAAGGTAATTGACGATCTACTTCGTTCTTGTGCAACCAAGCACAAGCTTACGACGGCCTACCATCCTCAAACAAACGGCCTCACAGAACGTCTGAATCGCACACTCACTGACATGCTCGCCATGTACGTGTCGACGGATCATCGTGACTGGGACATTGCGCTACCCTTTGTCACTTTCGCTTACAATAGCTCACGCCACGACACTGCTGGATATTCTCCCTTTTACCTTTTGTATGGAAGAGACCCGACATTGCCGTTCGACACGCTTGTACCCAACCCTGCCGACCTGTCCACAGCATATGCTCGCCGCGCTATTAGCACCGCGGAGAAAGCCCGTCAGATTGCCCACCAGCGCCTTTCGGACTCGCAGCTCCGTCAGAACGTAGCTATGACAGCCACCATCGGGACGTCCACTTTAGTCCAGGTGACCTCGTTCTTCTGTGGACTCCGTCGCGACATGTTGGTCTGGCTGAAAAGCTTCTACCCAAGTATTCCGGACCTTATCGTGTGCTACGGCAGGTAACTGATGTTACCTATGAAATAGCACCTCTAAACCCTTCGATACCTTCCACATCTTCCGACATCGTCCACGTCGCTCGCCTCAAGCCGTACATCTCGTCCAACACCTGCTAACAAGCGCCGGGTCGGCGCTTTTCGCCGCCGGAGGTCGATGTTGCGGGTTCGCGGCTATGCAGCTATGCGGGCGGTGCGAAGAAGAAGACGACGACGTTTTTGGGCTGTTCGAAAATACACAACGGCTGCCATCTTGACTGCTGGAGTACTTTTCTACTCTAAAGTAGTAAATACATTCGCAACAATATATAATCAGCCGAGGTAGGCTCAGCATGATTACATAGAGACTAAGCACACAGATGAAGGTACCTTGGCACTTGCTGAAGAAAAGGCACAGGTGGTGTAGTGATAAGAAGCACTGCGAAGTATGCCCCACAAAATTGGTTGCTAGGTTGTCTTTGCTGACGGTATAGCGTCATTCATGTCCTCTCGTTTTCTGAGTGCGTGTCTTTGCATTCGAAATTTCCGCCAAATATGCGCCATCTCGACGAGTTTTAGGTTTTGTTAAGCCTTTGCTGAATTTTAATATGCGCACGCTGTACTTTTCTGGTGGCAATTAGTCGGATAGCGATAGTTGTGTCCAGTAAATGCTTCTAAATACTCCGTCTCTCGTTTTACGAGTTTTCACAAGATCTTTCCAGCCGCATCAGTATTGAAGCACCACTGGTGGCTGAAATTTCCGGAGCCTTCCCCGACGGCGTTTCCCATTATCATATGGGAATTTCGACAAGCTAAATGCCAATAATTATATTAGATACGTCAGGGGCATATCTAGGTGTTTTTTTTTTTCAAAAACGGGGCAGAGGGAAGGCTAGACAACATTTTATGCATGCTCGTTTGTAGGTGTGCGTGTGTACATATACACATGTCAGTTTGAAATTTCAACTTCGGTAACACCTTCCTCCTCCCCTTTTCCTATTCCCTACTTCGCCAACGTGCTACTAAAGAAACTCCAGTGTGGTTATTATCTGGCAACATAGTGAATTTTTTGTATTGTCTCACATAAGCATTGAGATACATAACAGGCTCAACGAGTCCACGTGTAGTACAAGAAAACACGCCCGCAAAAAGCACGCTGGTGAGAGCAGGTCAGACGCGGAAGCAAGGCTAGTCCTGGTGCTCAAGAACAAGAATACGCCAGCGTTCGGGGAAAAGAGGGTTTCTGTCACTCCGCAATTTATTCCAGCGGTCGATAAATTCTCTAAAGGCGCCGAGCTCTGATGGCCGTCGACAGCCACTTAGCCTGTCACAGCCAACGCAAGCTTCACCACGCCTTTTTCTTTTAAAGGGGAACCGATGGGCCGCATCGGCACAGTTCGTTATGCAGCGAAGCAACGCGTGGAAAGCGTTACAGTCGAGGACTTCCCTTGAGGCAGTGCAAACAAAAGAAAAGAAGAATGTAACGAGGTACCAAGCGGGTTGTTCACGCCACTTGGGGAAGGCGAAGACGACTAAAAGGCAACAGAGTTTGCACTACTTCTACACCCCTCCTACTCCCCCTCCTGCGGCTTCTTTTTCACACCCACAAGCACTAGTCATGGCGGTTCAGCCATTACGGCGCCGTCTTGACGGGAAGTTCGCGTCAGGGAAAAAAAATCTGCTTTAGATGGAGAATATTTAGAGTGCCAGGACGACTACGACCCAGAGAAGAATGAGAAGCGCGGTGCCTGTGTTTTGAATTCAACTGCGCGACGACTTTTCGAAAGAAGAGCGCGTCGGCGTGATATTGAGCCGAACATGCGTTGCCGCCAAATGAAGCGCAGTAGAAAGAATAGCGGCTGCAAAGGCAGGAAATACTTTCGGAAACAAGCGGGATGAAAACTTGGCTGCAGTGTAGAGCATGGTATATTTGATGCTTGTATGAAAAGTGCGCAACGTAGAAACAGTAATTTTTTTTTTGTTTGATATGATGAAACCAGCGTAGAATACCACGATGAGGTGGTCATCTCATTTTTTCGCGTCACTACACCGTATAACAAACGTAAAACCCAAAGTCTGAATATTCATCCTTCATTGCAACAGACAACCATACTTATCGAATGTTCCCTTCTTGAACTCTACAGATGTTTACGAGAATTTTCTTTTCCTACAGAGCTCAACATGCTAGTCCACAACGTTCCCCTAGTTCAGAAGATGCAAGTTCAAACTGCATAGACGGCATCTACTGAAAGGGCGTGGCTGGAGATAGTCCAAATTTACGCACGCGCTACCACCAATGGTGCATATTTGGTTTGCTCAGCATGTTATTTTTGGCGCAATGCTTGAAACATGAAGACGGGAAAGGAAGAAAGAAAGATGAGCACAAACTATACCAACTGTTTACTGACACCAAAGATTGCAAACCAAGTAAACTTTCGAGCAAGCGCAGATGCGTGAAGCCGGAAAAATGCGTGTTAAAAAATAACTTGGAATCCCATAGCACAATTGATGTGTCATTAACACAGGTGGATTCCTTTCCTTTAATGATAAAAGCTTCTAACATCTCCCTCGCAATTTGATCTCTACTCTTGCTTATAATCTTAACACTGCGAAACCTGGCACACATGAGCACGACATAACATGCACCGGAAGATGCGCACCGTCTGTTTTTCTTATGCTAATGGCATGCTTGCTCAGGCGGTCAATAATACACCATCTCGCTTGTCCAATATAGGTCTTGCCCCAGCTCCGTGGACCCCGCTGTGGTGGTCTAGTGGCGAAGGTACTCGGCTGCTTACCCGCAGGTAGCAGGATAGAATCCCGGCTGCGGCGGCTGCATTTCCGATGGAGGTAGAAATGTAGTAGGCCCGTGTACTCAGATTTGGGTGCACGTTAAAGAACCCCAGGTTGTCTAAATTTCCGGAGCCCTCGACTACGGCGTCTTTCATAATCATATGGCGGTTTTGGAACGTTAAACCCCACATATGAATCAATCCATCAACAGCTCAGTGGAATTTCGTAGATGGCACAACACCTGAAAGTTATGCGCCTCAAATAACATGCTCAGCACACTGACGCACCAACTTGCCCAGGAGAAAGTTCTTCTGCATAGTAGGATGTGGGCTATACCTCAAACCAGACGTCGGTAGACGTCAGCCATGGAAACTTGAACGCTCCATTTGAGAATATTGAGCTCCGTACAGTGGTCAAAACTCATGCCTAGAACGACAATGCTCATGCTTAGAACGAGCTCTGCGACATCTGCGTTTGCGACATACGCAGTCGCAAGTACGCCACATCTGAGCATGCGCGTCACCACTGATATGCCTGTCTTGCAGTTTCCACTTTTCTGGATTAAAAGAAGGAAAAAATGAAAAAAATAAACCAGAAATTGCCCGGATGAGCACCTTTTATAATCACTTTGTGATATCATATCACAGCGAGAATGGTTCGCTTCTTTTTTTTATTTATTTCTGCTTACCTTCTGCTTTTTTTGTTTTCTTTTTTCGCTACATCGTTCAGATCAGCTTTCGACGGCCAAATCAGTCATCGCGGCCGCGGAGATGATTATAAGGGCGGAAACTGCATGACAGGCGCATCACTTGCACCGCTGCAGATATGCCTAGGGCTGTTCCAGGCGCGACGCTCCATCCTTCTAGACATGAGAGTTGATCCTTGTACTACGCAATACAACCATACTACGCAAGCGGTATTGGATATATGTCGGTAGGACCCTCGGTACAAAAAAAAAAGGTAAAGTCGACACGCACCGATGAACGTGAGGTTGACGTTCCTGTGCTGCGTTCGCTGCCTGCTGTAGTCGACCCGGCAGCGGTACTCGCCGGCGTCGCTCTCGAGCACCGGGTCAATGTTGAGCGCGGGCGGCTTCGAGCTGACGTCCAGGTAGGCGCGCGTAACCAGGTCCTGGCCCGGGAAGTGTCGTGCCTTGCCCAGGGGCTGGTCGCGGGCGTCCAGGCTGTAGATGGGAATGCCGTAGTCGCCGTGATACCAGAGGATCAGCGACACGCCGTCGACGCCCGCGGGAATGCTCGTGTTGCAGGGCAGTGACACCTTGCCGCCGACCGCTGCGTACAGCTGCGGGATGGCTGCGCAGAAAGAAGAACAAGACTCCTGTGAGCAGAGAGAGAGAGAGAGAGAGAAAATTTATTGCGGAAAGGCAGGGAGGTTAACCAGAAAACATATCCGGTTTGCTACCCTGCACTGGGGAAAGTGTAAGGGGAAAGGGAGGAAGAGAAGCACAAACACACATACACACACTCGCACACAGTAGTGTCACAATCGTTCAACGAGGCGGGTCGCTCGCAGAAACTTCATCAGCGCCTTCGTTGCTTTCTGGCGTGAAGCTCGATCTTTCCGACATTCCAAGATTGACTGCTCAGAAAATGGCTGGTCGTCGAGGCGAGCAAACACTGCTGAGAGGGACTGTCGCTGAGAGCTGTACTGGGGGCACTGACATAAAATATGTTCAATTGTTTCGTCATTGTCGCAATGATCGCATGTAGCGCTGTCTCTCATTCCGATGCGGCAGGCAAAAGCGTTCGTGAAAGACACCCCAAGCCACATACGGCAGAGAAGGGTCGTCTCGGATCGGGGTAGGCCAGATGGAATAGTAAGTCGTAGGCATGGGTCCAGGCGGTGAAGACGGGTGTGGAGAAAACCGGGCGTATTCCGCATAGACCTTGCGACATCCTGCGCTAGCGTATTAATCTTTGCTGCTGCGTCGCTTCTTGATAGTGGAATAGGTTCCATCACTCCATTTTCGTGAGCATTCTTAGCTGCATTGTCGGCATGCTCGTTACCGATGATGCCGCAATGGCCTGGTAACCACTGAAAAGATATGTCATGTCCTTCGTCTATTAGGTGATGGTACAGTTGTCGTATTTCGAGCGCCAATTGATCTTGAGGTCCACGACGTAGAGTATTGTGTAGACATTGGAGAGCTGGTTTCGAATCAGTAAAAATGCTCCATTTTTGTGGTGTCTCTTGGTCAATCCTGCGGAGTGCGCTGCGGAGTGCCGCGAGCTCCACGGCTGTCGATGTCGTCTTGTGTGACGTTCTGAACTGGATGGTTTCGGCTCTTGCTGGGAAGATCACAGCTCCTGCAGATCCTCCAACAGTTGTCGAGCCATCCGTGTAAAGTTTGACATGATCTTTGTATTCTTCGTGTAGCATGAGTAGAATCATCTGCTTTAAAGCTGGCGCCGAGAGCTCCGCCTTCTTGCGAATCCCCGGCACTGTCAAGCGCAGTTTTGGTCGGTCCAAGCACCAAGGAGGTGTTAGTATCCGTTCCGGAGGTGTGTAGACTGTTGGAAGGCACTCACGGAAAGTCAATACTCTCTTACAGAAGGAGGCACTCGGTCGATCTTCTGGAAGCGAAGCTAGGTGGTGGGCAGGGGCGCGAGCAAGGTGTCTAATATGAGCTCTAAGCACCTCCAAAGTAATGTGCACAGTGGCCGGATGATCTTTGGCGATTGCGATGGTTTCCGCTGTTGATGTACAGCGTGGTAATCCAAGACAAACTCTGAGTGCCTGGCCCTGGGCGTTTTCTATTGTGCGTATACTGCTTTTGCAAGCGTTCGTCAGAACCGGCAAGCTATACCGCAGGTACCCCAAAAACAGCGTTTTGTACAAATGCAACATCGCGTGCACTGATGTGCCCCACGTTTTGCCTCCGAGGAACTTGAAAAGTTGTGCGATGGCCGTTAGGCGCTTCTTTAGAGTGGCCACATGGGGACTCCAGCAGAGATTTCGATCGATCGTGACCCCCAAAAACCTGTGGGTCCTGGCGTAGCAGACACTGTGTCCATTGATGGCGATGGGATATGACGTCATTGCCTTCCGCGTGAACGCGACCAGCGCCGATTTCTCAGGAGAAATCTCGAGGCCTTGTTCTCTAAGGTACGCCGATATTGAATTCGCTGCTTTCTGGAGTCTCGCACGTACCTGAGGACGTGTTACACCTGATGTCCAGGCACAAATGTCATCTGCATAGAGAGATATCTGCACGGAATCTGGTATGCGTTCAACGAGACCGATCAGAACCAGGTTGAACAGTGTGGGGCTCAATACACCACCTTGAGGAACACCACGGTGTGTATAATGTTCAGAAGTCGGCCCATCATCAGTTTGCATAAACAATGATCTCATATGTAGGTAGCATTGGATCCAGCGGTACACTCGCCCACCCAAACCAACTGACTCGAGGGCGTCAAGTATGGCTTCGTGAGAAACATTGTCATATGCTCCTTTGACATCTAAAAATAGTGCGACAGATGACCGTCTGCTCATTTTCTGGTGTTGTACGTAGGTCACCAGGTCAATGACATTGTCAATGGAGCTCCGAAGACGACGAAAACCGGCCATGGCGTCTGGATATATTCTATGGCGTTCTAGGAACCACTCGAGTCTGGCAAGGATCATTCGCTCCATCAGCTTCCCTACGCAACTAGCCAGCGCTATTGGGCGGTATGATGTCAGCTCTAGAGGCGATTTTCCAGGTTTGAGAAGTGCAACCAACCGGCTTGTTTTCCACTCTCTGGGGACCGTTCCATCTCTCCAAGACTCATTGAATACTTCCAGCAAAGCATTTCGTGCTCGATCACCGAGATTGCATAATAGGCGGTATGATATGCCATCCGGCCCAGGCGATGACGATCGATTGCATGAAGCAAGAGCCACATTCAGTTCTTCCATTGAAAAAGGCAGGTCCAGGTGCGGGTCAAGTGAATGTGGCGTGTAATCAGCAGTAAGGGCTTCTGTGCAATTTGGTGGGCCCGCAATCTTCCTACAAAAATCTTCCGCTACCTCGATATCCCTTCTATTTTGGAAAAGGGCCAAGGCTTTAAACGGAAAACGTTGTTGGGGAAATGTGCGTAGGCCTCGCACGGTTCGCCATATTTGAGAAAGCGGTTTGCGAGGGTCTAGACTCGCGCAAAATTTCGCCCACCGTTGAAACTCCAGTTTGTCTATACGACGCTGGATCTTCTTTTGCATGCGCCTGGCCATCCGTAGATCTTGAATGGATTTTGTGCGTCGATATCTACGCTCCGCACGCCGACGAGTCGCACGGAGTCGCTCTAACTCCATGTCCGTTTCTGAGGGCCTTGAAGAATATGCCAGCGTGCGCATCGCACTCTGCGCTGCTTGTTTGATCGCTTGCTCAATGCCAGAGGTTAAGCCTTTTTCACAAGCGTGTTCAATGTTGGTTGTGAATGCTGAAAGATCGATCCTCCGTACGGTTTTCGGCGGGTGGTCGCTAGCAAAGCCTTCGATGGTGAGATAACTGGGGATGTGATCGCTACCATGTGTCTCGATGTCTAAAAACCACTTAACGCTTGTGGCGAAGCGACGTGACACGAACGTCAAGTCCAAACAGCTGCTGTACGTTGATCCTCGCAGAAATGTAGGGCTCCCATCATTAAGTAGAGACAGTTCATGAGTCGATACAAATGAAGCCAGCCTCCGGCCCGTGGTATTGACTTTTGAACTTCCCCAGATTGGGTGGTGGGCGTTGAAGTCCCCTATAATTATCCACGGATCCGGGACGCTCGAAAGAATGTCATCCAGTCTTTGGCAATCAAAACGGGCTGAGGGAGATAAGTAGACACCTATTAATGTGAAGGTGAGGGTTTTCTGCTTCACAGTCAGGCAAACATATTGGTTCTCATCATGAGGCGACACAGGTTGAATGATGTAGGTAAGCTCCCGACGAATATACACAATGACCTTGCTGCTTTCGTTTCGGGTTTTGGACGGGATTGATTCGTAGCCAGATAGCCTGATCGGGTTTGATAATTTCGGTTCACATATTACGATGATTGGGAAAAGGTTAGAAGACACGTACTGACGAAAATCGGAAATCCGTGATCTAAGTCCTCTTGCGTTCCACTGGATGACTGATGCTTCTCTGACGTCTTTGCGGAACGATTGTTGATCTCCTGCCATGACTCTACGCGAGGGAGGCGAGGACTGGGCTCAGCGCGTCCAACACCTGTAACCCGCTTCGAGCGGTTGGAGTTCCCAGGCTTCTTAGTATGTCTGCCATGACAGCGACGAGGGATCGTAACATCGGGATGATCTGTCGATCGACCCTTGACACATCCTCAACGGAAGTAGACTCGGTGGAAGGTGTAGGGCGGCGAGGCCTCGCAGGAGGCTCCTTTGCAGGCTGTGTACGCGGAAGCGTAGGCCACTCATCCGCAGCTGTGAGCTTCTCCACTTCTTTTCGCTTCGTGCTTACTACTTCACTCGTGCTCGGAGGAAATGGGTTATGCGCAACACTCTGTCCTACACGCCTCCGTCGGCGACTACGTCGCCGCCGTACCCTTTCAGCAGCCTCTCTGTGGGTTGAATTGTCCCTAACCATTTGTTTGATAATGGCGATTTCCTTCTTAATCCGAGGGCATTCCTTGGATGCAGCATCATGCGGACCATCACAGTTTCTGCACTTCAGACTTGTTGCCCGACATGCGTCTGCAGTGTGCGGCTCAGCGCATCGGGGGCATACTGTGGTGTTTGTACATACACTCTTGATGTGACCAATTTTCATGCAGTTATGGCACTGGAGTGGTTTAGGGACAAATGGTCGAACAGGATGTCGGAAGTGTCCCACTTTGACATGCGACGGAATGGAATCTCCTTTGAACATTATCTTTACACATCGGGTGTTTCCGAGGCGAAGTACATTCGCGATGAGAACTCCTTCGTTCGCTGGTTTTATGAGAGTTGGGAGATCCGAGTTTGCTATGGCCAAATCAATGTCGTAGATTACTCCCGCCGTGCAGGCACCGTCCATTGGAATAACCGGTCGTACTTTGATGCCTCCCAAATCTGATACTCTGCGAAGCTTGTCTATGGCGCTGGCAGTCATTGTGTCCACAGCTAGAATATTCTTCCGCGTGTTCACCCGGATATCCTTAATGTCGTTTGGTGCTACCCCCTCAAAGTACATAGAGAGAGCTTGCCTGTTTACTGCTCGAAGGCTGATGGTGGAGTCCTCGGGCATGAACAGGTCTTCTGTATGTGGCACTAGGGTGATGTTAAGCTACGCGTGATGGTCTACTGCTGCACCCTGTCAATCATTTGC